CTTATAAAATTGACTTGTTTTGTTATGTAAACTTTTAATTCTATATTGTTTAACAATTGTGATAAAACATACAATATTATGTATTGATGTAATGGATATAACAATTGTGTTGAAGACATTGTGTCAAAAATATATTCAGTGATAAGTACATGTGCTGTACGTATCTTATTCTCCATGACTTATGTTGAAAATATATAAAAATTTTAAATGCTACTTTTTGCAAAATTATAGATATTAATTAGCGTTTATGAAAAATATTATGAAAAGGTTTAAATTGAATAAATATAAAGAATATACTTCAAAGCAAATGTTCCTATGCACAGACTAATAGAATGGAACACAGATATATGATATGATGTATTAAAAACTTAAATCAAATGGCACATACTAATAAGTCGAGTTATCTTCATCATCAGCTTTAATTGAGTATTCTGGTATTGGAAGAACTCAAAAAATATGTTCATTATTTAGTACGTTAATTAGTAACTATCTGCACCATTGCTTAACATTTTTGTATTTTGTACATTGGGTTGAATTAATTAAATATAGTAGATAATTATCCTTATCTGTATAATTAAATTGAAATTGAGTATGAAGAGTATCTAGTAACTGAATTTACTACTAATAACTGTTATTTGATTGTCTCTCAAAGTAATTTATATTAAAAATCTATACTAAACTCAAATTAAACATCTGTGTCTAAATCAAGTGAATTTAAATGAAATACTGTCCTTAACACTAGAATGACGGAGGTTGGTTGTATACATATTTTGCCTGATTGAGAGTCAATTTGGGTAAGGGATTAGGGAGAAATAGATATTAATTTTTGTATACTTTTCATTGTACTATGAAAAACCAAAAAAAATATTTAAAAAAATGACTTGAAATTGTTATGTATATCACATAAACAATGCGAATGAGTCAAATTGACTCGTTCCGTCATTTAACGACTAGTGATAAGTGTAGTGAAGACATAGAACAATTTAGGTTAGAAGCACTTGAAAAACATCGAATCAAATTAGACTTACTTTATCTTTATTACATTCTAGTAAATAAATTATTAAAATATTAGCCATGATCGCTATCACAATAAATTTTATCTGTTCACCGAAATATCATTTTTGTTTTTAATTCATGAAATTCGAACACCTTTAATCATTCTTAACCAATTTGAGTTCAGCACTTTTTACCCCCTCTATTGCAATTATCGGTCAAAAATATTTGATTTCAAATAATATCATATTATTTTGCAATTACTATAATTTATGATCATATTATCTTCTCTATATTCGAGTTTTGTATTTAAATTGTAATTTTAATTATAGTTTTATATGTTCTTTATTTCAATAATTCACAAATTATAAGTTATATATTAATATTAATTCAAACTTCGAAAAAATCTTTTTCATAAAGCTCATTCATGAATATAACAAAGAAAACCTACAGCTACTATATAAAACACCACCAGACCGAAATAAATGATGCTTGAACTGTCACACAGCGCCTGATAATGTAGGCTTGGTTGCATTCATCACGCTTTGTTTAAACCTAGAATTTATTACTGTCGTCTGGCGCTGATTCCGAGCCCACTTCACCCTTAAATACTGAAGCTCTTTGCATCCCTCCCGGGGTCTAAAACAAAATTGTAACAACGACTGAAAACCACCACCGAAGTGGTTGCGTACATACTTGCGAAGCAATATATTTCATTACGCTTGCCGCAAAACCGCGCGGTTTGGACGGACTGAGGAAAACGAGAGCTGGGATTTTAATATTCAAAGAAATAATAAATCCACAACTAAACATTATAATATTGATATTAAATAACAAATTTCAATAATAAAAATGTAGTTATTTCAAATAAAAGCTTGTATAATTGAGCCTTCAAAAAAAGTTGATACCGGGGTTAAATATTGTAACACTTAAATAAAATATTGGATCGTCGAGTTCTATTAAACTAATTTACATTTATTATATGTTTTCACGCATGATTCAGATTCGTTGATTCTAAGCAGAACTATCTGATTTTTTTCAAAATTCCAAAAGAATTCTATATATAATATCATACGTATGATGATGAAAAATTATGCCTATATTAAAAGTTAAATTTTATATTAATTTATATAATATACTAACAATAAATTTATTTATTTGATATACCTATTGAGAATAATTAATACTCTTTCCAAATGTTCAATTTTAATTGTGTTTTACGAAAATAGTCGCTCTTTCACTACATTTCAACAGAATGCTCTTGAGTCTACATCAAACGAATTAATAACAAGAAGCTCCATGATCAATAAAGTTCCTCCACCGTTCTGTGTATTAATAAATTAAACTTGAAATCCTCAAAATCAAAAATGTATTATGCATGATTTTTAAATTAAATCTGTTTGTAATATGATAGACAGTCTGTTGTTTTCAGAATTCGAATTAATACCGTGGTAGAAAAACGCAAATAAATAAAAGCAAACAGAATTAATTAAACCTATAGTTTGTATAAATCTGGTAAATTTTTAATTAAAAACATTGAAATAGCGCAATATTTTATGGCATCGACGTGATTACAGGATAAAAACGCATTTAAAAATCATATTCCGAATCCAAGGCCAATAATATAAAAAACGTGATAAAGTAATTGCGAGTTGAAAATTCATTTTCTGGCACTGGTTTTAGATAACTTAGTCCAACAGTTTATAGAACATGATCTACAAAGTTTAAAATAAATAAAGTTTACAAACTTGTACACACAGAATAGCAATGTGCAGTCATAAAAAGTATCTTAAAAGTTTTACTAGATTTTAAATGAACCCAGAAGAGATGGGGTAATGCTGAGCTTCTTGTTCTTTGTTTTAAGTTTTGACGCCATGCGATATAATAAAACTTTGTTAAAAAATAAAATTGCATTAAAACCTTCTCAATTTTCTAATTAAAATTTAATGAAGTGTTCAGTAGAATACATTTTATTTTGTATTAGTGGCATTCATATATATATATATATATATATATATATATATATATATATATATAATCTACTGAATAATGAAGTCGTTGAACATGATTCAAGTCCATCCACGTTAATAATTCATAAACGAAAGTTCAATTCAATTTCCACCATAATTGGTACAAATTAAAATCTTGATTTGAAATATATTTAAATTTTATCTCATTTACATTTACGCCTCGTGGTCGGATCGTTTAATTACTTGCTTAACCCTTATTACATTGTAAAATCAAAAGATAGAGACTGCCCCAGAAAGTAACGAAGCGTAATTAACATAGGTTTCGTTTTATTGTCCAAAAGATATCATTGAAAGTCCGATGTTAAATCGAACGTAAGAATTTAATGGAGCATATTGAATTATTTGTAAAATATACAAAAATTAAAGAATAAATACATAAAATATCAAATGTTGATGAAGTTGGTTGGAAGAGATGTTCAATCTTGTGATTTCAATTTCCATTCGGATTTTAATTTTTTATTCATGTTAGGGATTATTTGTGATGTCTAAATATCCAAATTACTTTGCCTATTCAAATAGAATATAAATCATTATGAAATATTAGGTGAATCAAATAAATTTTTAAATATGTTATGCGTACCCAGCGAAGTTTTAATGCATATTATTAAATATTTAAGCAAAAAGCATATATACAATATCCATTCATATTTCACATTTACAAGTAATTCGATGAGGCAACAGTTATACGGACTTCCATCAATGATCGATAAGTGAATATAGAAAAGCTTGTACACCGACATGATTGTATTTCTATATATGCAAACTTTTCAATCTAATTTTTGCTCGCATTTGAAAAAGTATTGAACCACAGTTATGTTTAATACAAAATGCTTTCGGCAAAATGATATAATATTAAAGTTGCTCATACACATTGAACATTCATGGAAAGTTCCGAAACACCTTCGCATAACAAATCTCGTTAAAAGTTCCTGGTTTCTAAGATTATGGAACCGCAGAGAGAATATCTTGTAAAATATTTTTTAGGAAAAAACCGCAAAGAAAATTTTTATCGACTATGAAAAAAAGGATTTCGCTTTGATGAAGTATTTTTTTCAACGATTATAATAATCTAGAATCTAGATTATTATAATCGTTGAAAAAAATACTATCTACTATCTAGATTCTAGATCATTATGGTAATCTTAACACGTATATATGTATATATGCACAAAGAGAAAAACATTGGGTTGCCTCTGGTAACAAAAAAGATTGATTGCATATATAATTACAAAAAAAATTGAAATTGTTACAATATTTTACAATATTTGAACAAAAACTTAAATGCCATTTTAACAGCATGTAATTATTTCTCTAATTAGAATTATATGATTGATTATGCAATAATGCGGATTACGCAGTTGAACAAATAAATGTGGCTAATCAATAATAATGAAAAGCTTTGATTCAAATATTTGGTCAAAAATATAATAATATTAATGTTAAATTCATTTCAATTATACATTATAATGAAACTTGGATAATTAGTTATAATTCGCACAAATATTTATCACTTATAAATAGATATTTAGATCGATTTATTTTCACAAAATGGATTATAAAAAACGTATTGAAAACAACGTTTTGAAAAAAGTGCCGGTTATTATGGAATTTTATTATGCTATTGATGAGTTAATGATTCAGTGAAAAAAAAACATAACACAAGAGAAAAACAAAAAGTTTAGAAAATGTATGCTAAATGCCAATGCACCGTTATGTTGATAAAATTAAATAAATAGAGCAAAATGATATACAATTCAAAAAGCATATGATCATGACCTCTGATATCTAGTAAAAATATAAATTCATGTATGTACGCTTCGAGTGGAAAATATATTTCCGACACATTAACCTTATTACTAGTACTCTACCCGAAGGTAATTCCTAGGAAAATCATCAAATTAATAATTTAATTAATAAAAATTGTGTATATTATATGTTAAGATTCTGATTTTAAAATAATGTGTAAAATGTACTTACCAAATACCACATTTGTGGCCATTTCTGATCATTGAGCGCAATGCCCGTTCTAAGATTCGTCCTAGGCCTGAGGGCGATCAGGTCGCGCTTTTGCCTAGATTTTACCCGTTGCTGCCGCGCCCAATGCACCCTTGAATCAGACTGCAGCCTTCGGTGCCTGTGGTCGCAGGACCGCTTCGACCGCCTTGGGACCGCTCGATGATGGAAATGGTAGTGGTCATTGAATATCTGCAAGAAAAAGTTAAGAATTATTAAAATATCAATACTAAAATAAGACTTGGAAACCAATTTAAAAGTATGTATTAAACAAAATGATTTTGTGATGCACAATGATTAGAGGTAATGTGATATATGTTTGTTTAGACCTAACAAACAAAATAAAAACAATTCAAATTTTTGAATTTTATCAATATCTTCAAATCTTCACTTCAATATCTGAAGAATTATAAAATAGTTTCTACAATTATATCATGAAATATTGCACATAAATTGTCTAAACAAGCAATGTCAAAGTTACTGCATCTTCAACAAGCAAAATATATGTTTTGCTTCCATTAGTTCCTATGACATTTATAGCAGTCATACAATATTGCCTTCTAATCAATGATGTAGACACACTTTATAGCATCGATCGGGACTTCGTGCGATACCCTTTTATGAATCTAATAAATTTCTATTTTCAGTACTCTCTATTAACGCTTCTAGCTCGTTACTCTATTGAGGGTTTAATATTGGTCTATTTGTTACAGTGATTTACTTCATAGTTGCTCGGCGTGGGCTTTATTGATCCGTTATTCGAACATTTTACAAGGAAAACACGTACACCATATGGGCAAAAAGAGATTAATGTCAGTTTGCAATAAGTCCATTTCGTCTGTGAGTAATGGATATTTATAAAATATCTAAAAGCGATTTGCAAAAATATATTGCTATACGGATGCAGGCCAACGGTACTTTTGTATCCTTTTGCAGTGCTTATTGATAAAATTATGGTACGGCTTTGCTAGTATATTAGGGGTCGTAAACATGTTTATGGATACTGCTCGTTTTGTAGGTAATTTAATAAATTTGTCGATATTCCAGAGAAAAGTTTATAGTAGGTATTGACATATTTTATTTATCCAGTAGTAAATTTAATTTCAAAATTAAAATAATACAGAAGCACAGCTATAGCATTATATAGCTTATAAAGCTTTATATAAATATAACATAAAATAAAATGTGTGTGAAAGATCATATAAATTTTAATATTCATACACGACCATGCGTGAGATTCATTATAATCGTTCGTATTGATGGCAAGACGTGCTGATTAGTTTTTGGCAAAGGCAGGTCCAGCAGTTTTGGAGATACAGAGTAAGAATAGCACAGAATAGCAGTTTTTAACAGAAAGCAGCATGCGATTGGAATTGTTTTAAAAACAGTCTATTCATACAGACGGCGAAATGTTCTTTTTAGTTTTTGTGAAAGCCAGGTCTAGCCGTTTCGGATCAAAAACTGTAGATAATGGTAATGGTAAAAAAATTAAAAATATTAAAAAAAGTTACTTCGTGATTTTTTTTCAAACTTCCTATTTTTTTCAGAATTTTCAAAACAAAAGAAATATTTCTAAAATATCGGATTTCTCCGATTGATTATTAAATTGTATTGATTATCGATTAATTTTATTCTTCGAATGATTAATTACGCTACGTAGAATTTTAGCAATTTGCCTTAATACACAATGCACTACTATAGTTTATTATTTATTTATAATAAACTATAGTTTATTACACAATGCTTTACTATAGTTTATTATATATCTATAATAAACTATAGTTTATTATATGCTCAAATATAATAATTTTCATCTGAGTATCTATTTAGCACAAGAAAAAATTAACTCTAAATAGCAGAAACCTATCACAGCAGAAAAAGCATCAGAAATTGATAAATAGTCACTGACTAATATAATGTATGTAATTCCAATGATTCTAAAATAGTGTTTATTGATCAGTAGGTCATAATAACTATAGATTAATCAATACGAAACCATAAAATAAAACAACTGTAAACACTTTATACGCTCTTGTGTAAATATAGCATGTTCCACCTACAATATATTCCTGAATGTCACGATTTACCATCCCGTCGAATTCTGTGACATTCGTTACCAATAGAACTTTTTGTTCCCGAAAGTGTTTTATCCCATGCGATGAATGCGGATAATGAATTTTAATCACGGGCGCAGATAGAATCGGATGAGCGAGCGCGGTCAACGCGGCGGCTGATATACGCGATGTATCGGCCTTTTTGCTCGTCGTATGAAAGCAAACCGCCCCCCATGGCCTATAGACACGGTCATAGCGAAGTATCGAGCGCGGGCATATCGCCAAGCCGAACCGAAGCCAGAAAACATAGTAGTTATGTACCGCTGCGGCGGTTAGGGAATGTTTCATATGAGATATCTTATCTATATGACATATATAGTGGGTATTGAGCAGCTAACGATCTTTATCTTAGGATAGGCATTGTAATGCGGACAGTGGGTTTAATTTAAATTTTGGAATTGGATTAGCACGAAGGTACAGAGATAGTGAGATGTTCAATTTAGTTTGGAACAGAGAACATTTTACTGTACAAATTAGGGAATCTATGTATCCTTTCGATTATCACAAACATGCAATACACGTTCTCTATAGACCATATAAACTGGCAAATAGACATTGAATTCGTTTAAAGCTACAGAAAATATTACTTAAGAATAAAAGAATCTGGTTTTCTTCTGACTACTGCTTATGAAAATACCATTGTTGATTATCTATGAAAGTGGGTTCAATTTAAATTTTGGAAGTGGATTAGCAAGAAGGTATATGATAATGAAATATACAATTTACTTTGGAACCTAGAGTATTTTACTGTACATACTAGGGAATATACATATATGTATCATATTATAGAATTTTTGATTATTTTTGACATCGTTATGCATTCCCTACAGACCTTTACTAAATATTACTAATGTCAATTGGACTAACTAAACTGTCAATTGGAAAACCTGGTTTTCTTCTGAGCACTTTTATTAAATATACCACTTCTAAATTATTTATGAAAGTTAGTTAAATTTAAAGTTTGAAAGTCGATTTAGCACAGAAATTGAGAGACAAAATTCATTAATTTTAGTTTGGCATAGAGAACATTTTACTGTAAAAATTTTGGATCTATGCATTTTTTTGATTATCTTTGCCTTCATGAAAATAATGATCAAACGAATTCTACACCATGTCAAATAACAAAAATAGATAAATTTAATTTTAATTTCATTAAAGCTCTACAAAATATTAATTAACAATAAGAGAACCCGGTTTTCTTCAGACTCCCAAACTACCGGACTACCAATAATAAGAGAACCTGGTTTTCTTCTGACTACCGCTTATGAAAATGTTATTGTTATTTATCTATGAATCAATTTAAATTTTGGAAGTGGATAAGCAAGATGGTATAAGATAATGAAATATACAATTTAGTTTGGAACGTATTTCTTTTGCCATCACAAAAACAATTATCACGCATTCCCTACAGACCATGTAGAATGGCAAAAAAGCTTTACTAAATACTACTAAACTAACAATTAGAGAACCTGGTTTTCTTCCGAGCACTTCTATTAAATATACCATTGCTAAATTATCTATGAAAGTTGGTTTGATTTAAAGTGTGAAAGTCGATTAGCACAGAAATAGAGAGATAAAATTGATAAATTTAGTTTGGCATAGGGAACATTTTACTACAAAAATTTCGGATCTTTGCATCTTTTTGATTATCTTTGCCTTCAATCAAATTATGATCACACGATCTCTACACCATGTCAAATGACAAAAAGAGATATTGAATTCTATTAAAGCTCTATAAAATATTAATTAATAATAAGAGAACCTGGTTTTCTTCAGACCGGACTACCAATAATAAATACAAATAAATTAGTAAATTATCTATTAAATATTGTTGCAAATATTCAGAATATAAACTTCATTTAATTATATTATTACTCTGACCTTTTTATCTTATTTTTTAATTTATTTTATTACAAAAGCATAATAAAAACTGCCATGATTCTATAACATTTGGCACATGTTACGCAAATAATCTGTGACTTTAATAATGATATACGAGCTCACTTACATATTGTCGGAATATTTCCAACTTTTAATATTCTTTTTATTGATTTATTACACAAAAGCTAAACTCCAATGTAAATTATAATTTTTCATAAATCACATCGTGCCAGTAGAAGATTTCTTTGGCACGAAACAAAAAAGTTTTTCGATATGTGACTGCGCTCAAATCTAATATCGTAAGTTTAATATGACTCGTGCTGAACTTTCATAACTGATTTATTTGCTATATCAACATTTTACCCAACTTTTAACTTGAAATGTGATGACATAGTGGGATCTCATTCATCTTTTTGACCTATATTCTTAGGGTAGAGAATAGGGTAGGGCACCTTTAAATTATCTAGGATGAATATATATGCAAATTATTATATATGCAAATCTTTTTTTCTGTTCTCTTTTCTTTCGTATTTTGTCTTATTTATATCAGTTTTTTCTTTATCTGTTTAATTTTGCCCAAAAAAGGCAAGAAATACATATCACAACATATACATGTCACTTAAGACAAAAATAATTACTGGAAATTAACTACTAATGTTCAATTTACAGCAAAATAACAAACAAAGTAATCAATCAGTATACCAAAAATAGTTATTAATAAAAGAATTCGAACAAAAAATCTTACTTATCGCCATTTAAATTCGGTCTACAGATCATTCTTATGTAGGTCGCTGATTCAATGCAAAAATGGGAACTTGTTTGAACAAGCATACTTCATCTTTCGCCCTTTGGTTCTTATTTCAAAATCAGTATAGTTCAGCTGGGTTGGGTACTACTAACCGTACCCAATCTCCCCTATATATAGTAATATTTATATAATTTTTTGACAAGTATATTTATTTAAGTATTATTTGATGCTTTGTAAGAATCCTTTTTTACTATAAGGAAACCATTTTGACGCAAACTAAAATATTATCTACTAATGCAATCCTCTGTGTAACAACGCGGAAACACTTGTCGCCATTGTACCTGTTTCCAACCCAGATAAGTTTACTTTGATACTGTTCTCCTGCATCAAGACGCTCGTCTCGATAGAGGAACAATATATAATGCGGCGAGCGTGCGATTGTGACGGCA